TAAAAATTCAATATGAACGTTGAACTTAAATGGAAATGTAATAAAAATTTTAATATATCCCTTACCCTTAACTTTAGTCTTAAACTTAACCTTTATACAAACCTTAAACTTCATCTTAATCATACGCAAAACCAAAAATTCAAAACATTAACCTAATCTTAATCTTAACCTGAATCTGAATCTTAACTTTCACCTTAACCTTAATCTTGAACTTAACTTTAACCTTAAATCTGATCATAAGATTATACCGAAGTTTGAGGCTGTATAGCTAAATATATCGTTACATAATGTCTTTCAGGTTGAGGTTGGATGTTTAATTTGCTGTTCATTTTTAAGTAGAGCACACAAGGGTTTAGAATGTATTCAAATCAGGTGAGTTCTGGAAAATATATTTATGCCAATGTGTGTGTGAGTGTGTGTGTGTGTGTGTGTGTTTGTTGGTTGTGTTTTTAATAAATGTATATAGTTTGTCGCTAGAGATCGAAAAGAAGGTGAAAATGTAGAATTGAAGTTGTAGTAAGGTCAATATAAACCAGTGCATTTTCAAGGTCAGAAATAAATTACATGGTTTAAACTGTGTTTCAGTTGAAAATGGAATGTGACACAAACGCAGGAAAAGAGAACGGTAACTATATTTACTCATTAAATTAAGTTAAAAACATATCATTTTTAAAGGAGAAAGTATTTAATTTTCAAGGTGCATAATTCAATTAATTATATTTTCAACAGAATATGTTACAATATCTGAGCTGGACAATATTATTACCAAAGAGATAACCTCATTGAGGAATCTGGTGATGGAAAACACTAGAGTGATGATTATGGAAGAAATGAAAGTATTGAAAGAGGACGTCTTCAGGGAAATTAGCAATGAGTTTTTTATCCAGGACAAAATAAAAGAAGAAATCAAGATGACCGTTTTACTGAAAGTCAAATCGTTTGAATATGAAATGACACAGAAAGTGGCTTTCTTCACAGATCATTTACTAGGTCGGGGTTGGGACCGATTATGGAGAACTCCTAAAGATGAATCTCTGGGCTCTACATTTCTGAAAGAAATTCTAGACAGGCATATTTCTCAGTGCAAGCTCGTTTTAATTCGTCCTTCAAACACTGCAAGAGCTCATTCAACCTTAAGAAGGTATCCAAGAAGACGCGTAGCTAAAAAAGAATCTGATGTCCTTGATTTGATTGATGATTCCAATTTCATGGTGAAATATATTAATGATGAGATAGGTAAAAAATTAAAAAAAACTGTTAAATTCTATACACTGAGTATAGATAATAGCATCAATGATACATTTTGATTGTTGATATTACAGGAAATGGTGTATTTGCAAGGAGGAAGTTCTCTAAAGGTGAACCTTTGCTTGAATACAAGGGGAAATTGAGGGAAGGTCCATTCCTTGAAGACGAGGATGATACCTATTTTTTTGAATTTAATTTCAATGGCAAATTGAAGATGTGAGTAGTTTTTAATCATTTTAAGAGCAGAATGTCTTCTTTTTCTTTCATTTAAATTTAAAAGAAACGATCGCTCCGGAGTCATCTCGTCAAAAGTTGAAAATCGATGATTAATTATTTTAGGGGCTTATCATTTGTTTGGATATATAGAGGAATTCACAAGGAAGGAAATGTTACAGTAAAAAAATAATAATTTAATTTCGTATAACAAGAATAATTCCCTTCCGCTCCCTAACCCCTCTTTTTTATCATACATTTTGGTTAATGTTTATTAGCTTATTTTTATATAGGGTTAGGGTTAGGGTATAGGGGGTTTTACGAAGATCGCTCCGGAGTCATCTCGTCAATGTCAAATTTTGTCACGTGATTTCAGTAGGCGTGGTTATTGTTTTTTTTATCTTAATACTTTGTGTAGCAAAGTATCAAAGTTTATTTTGTTATTTCCATCATACACTTTGGCTCAGTAGGTAGAGCAGCGGACTTCAGATTAAGGGGTGCCGAGTTCGATTCCCGATGGAATCGTTCATTTTATAGCTCAATTTATTTTTTCTAAAGTTGAAAATCGATGATTAATTACTGATCTATTCGAGTCAAGTATTATTACATATTTAGGTTTTATACCTTTTTGTCCAAATCTTGCTTGGAAATCATTTGTTTGGATATATAGAGAAATCATTGAATTCACAAGGAAGGAAATGTTACAGTAAAAAAATAATAATTTAATTTCGTATAACAAGAATAATTCCCTTCCGCTCCCTAACCCCTCTTTTTTATCATACATTTTGGTACAACTCTTACTCTAAAGAATGTTTATTAGCTTATTGATTCAGCTTTGACTCTTTGTTACGGGTAGGGTTAGGGTTAGGGTTAGGGTTAGGGTTAGGGTTAGGGTTAGGGTTAGTGTTAGGGTTAGGGTTAGGGTTATCTCGTCAATGTCAAATTTTGGTGATTTTAGGTTTTTTTTATCTTAATACTTTGTGTAGCAAAGTATCAAAGTTTATTTTGTTATTTCCATCATACACTTTGGGTTAGAGCAGGGTTAGGGTTATGGGTTCATTTTATAGTAAAGTTGAAAAGATCTATTCGAGTCAAGGGTTTATACCTTTTTGTCCAAAGAAATCGCTCCGGAGTCATCTCGTCAATGTCAAATTTTGTCACGTGATTTCAGTAGGCGTGGTTATTGTTTTTTTTATCTTAATACTTTGTGTAGCAAAGTATCAAAGTTTATTTTGTTATTTCCATCATACACTTTGGCTCAGTAGGTAGAGCAGCGGACTTCAGATTAAGGGGTGCCGAGTTCGATTCCCGATGGAATCGTTCATTTTATAGCTCAATTTATTTTTTCTAAAGTTGAAAATCGATGATTAATTACTGATCTATTCGAGTCAAGTATTATTACATATTTAGGTTTTATACCTTTTTGTCCAAATCTTGCTTGGAAATCATTTGTTTGGATATATAGAGAAATCATTGAATTCACAAGGAAGGAAATGTTACAGTAAAAAAATAATAATTTAATTTCGTATAACAAGAATAATTCCCTTCCGCTCCCTAACCCCTCTTTTTTATCATACATTTTGGTACAACTCTTACTCTAAAGAATGTTTATTAGCTTATTGATTCAGCTTTGACTCTTTGTTACGGTTAGGGTTAGGGTTAGGGTTAGGGTTAGGGTTAGGGTTAGGGTTAGGGTATAGGGGGTTTTACGAAGATCGCTCCGGAGTCATCTCGTCAATGTCAAATTTTGTCACGTGATTTCAGTAGGCGTGGTTATTGTTTTTTTTATCTTAATACTTTGTGTAGCAAAGTATCAAAGTTTATTTTGTTATTTCCATCATACACTTTGGCTCAGTAGGTAGAGCAGCGGACTTCAGATTAAGGGGTGCCGAGTTCGATTCCCGATGGAATCGTTCATTTTATAGCTCAATTTATTTTTTCTAAAGTTGAAAATCGATGATTAATTACTGATCTATTCGAGTCAAGTATTATTACATATTTAGGTTTTATACCTTTTTGTCCAAATCTTGCTTGGAAATCATTTGTTTGGATATATAGAGAAATCATTGAATTCACAAGGAAGGAAATGTTACAGTAAAAAAATAATAATTTAATTTCGTATAACAAGAATAATTCCCTTCCGCTCCCTAACCCCTCTTTTTTATCATACATTTTGGTACAACTCTTACTCTAAAGAATGTTTATTAGCTTATTGATTCAGCTTTGACTCTTTGTTAGGGTTAGGGTTAGGGTTAGGGTTAGGGTTAGGGTTAGGGTTAGGGTTAGGGTTAGGGTATAGGGGGTTTTACGAAGATCGCTCCGGAGTCATCTCGTCAATGTCAAATTTTGTCACGTGATTTCAGTAGGCGTGGTTATTGTTTTTTTTATCTTAATACTTTGTGTAGCAAAGTATCAAAGTTTATTTTGTTATTTCCATCATACACTTTGGCTCAGTAGGTAGAGCAGCGGACTTCAGATTAAGGGGTGCCGAGTTCGATTCCCGATGGAATCGTTCATTTTATAGCTCAATTTATTTTTTCTAAAGTTGAAAATCGATGATTAATTACTGATCTATTCGAGTCAAGTATTATTACATATTTAGGTTTTATACCTTTTTGTCCAAATCTTGCTTGGAAATCATTTGTTTGGATATATAGAGAAATCATTGAATTCACAAGGAAGGAAATGTTACAGTAAAAAAATAATAATTTAATTTCGTATAACAAGAATAATTCCCTTCCGCTCCCTAACCCCTCTTTTTTATCATACATTTTGGTACAACTCTTACTCTAAAGAATGTTTATTAGCTTATTGATTCAGCTTTGACTCTTTGTTAGGGTTAGGGTTAGGGTTAGGGTTAGGGTTAGGGTTAGGGTTAGGGTTAGGGTTAGGGTTAGGGTTAGGGTTAGGGTATAGGGGGTTTTACGAAGATCGCTCCGGAGTCATCTCGTCAATGTCAAATTTTGTCACGTGATTTCAGTAGGCGTGGTTATTGTTTTTTTTATCTTAATACTTTGTGTAGCAAAGTATCAAAGTTTATTTTGTTATTTCCATCATACACTTTGGCTCAGTAGGTAGAGCAGCGGACTTCAGATTAAGGGGTGCCGAGTTCGATTCCCGATGGAATCGTTCATTTTATAGCTCAATTTATTTTTTCTAAAGTTGAAAATCGATGATTAATTACTGATCTATTCGAGTCAAGTATTATTACATATTTAGGTTTTATACCTTTTTGTCCAAATCTTGCTTGGAAATCATTTGTTTGGATATATAGAGAAATCATTGAATTCACAAGGAAGGAAATGTTACAGTAAAAAAATAATAATTTAATTTCGTATAACAAGAATAATTCCCTTCCGCTCCCTAACCCCTCTTTTTTATCATACATTTTGGTACAACTCTTACTCTAAAGAATGTTTATTAGCTTATTGATTCAGCTTTGACTCTTTGTTACGGGTATTTTTTTTCATAGAGAGTTTTAAAACCTTTACGTCAGTTCTATTTTTATTATCACGTGCATACTTGTACGTTTAAAGACAATAGGAAGATGTCAAAGAAAATCAAAGAATCCGGTAAGTGGAATAGAGGAAAAGGAATCTTTTCTTAATGCTTGAGATTTAAATATTTTCTGAGAATAAAACAAACTTCAATATGTGGATGAAAAATGACCGAGTTAATAAGAAATAAAGTAGTTTTTACGATTATCAAAATTTGAGATATAGATAAGAGAAAATGACTTTAGTTGAAGATATAAGTAATACCGTATTGAATACCACAGTGAATACCCTGATCTGAAGTGTAAAAATTGCGTTATGAAACAAGCAAATAGATAAATATCTTCTCTTGACCCGATAATATGAATCATGAAATATTGACTTTGTCCATGAAGGGAATTTATTGGAATAAACAATTCTTTTGAAAACGTCTGTACGTCAACTGTATTTAACTGAAAATTAATTCACAATATATATATATTTGTGGTAAAAACTCTTTGATTTCTTTTAAATCTCAAGTCATACTTTGTATGTGATCTTAGTACCAAACTGAAATCTTTACATAAACCATTATATCAAATGATCCCTAACTCTAACCTTAACCTTAATCTTAACCTCAATCCTAACCTCAATCTATTTACCCATTAAATCTCACTGAAAGAACAGAATAATGTAAGCACACACAGATTACTTCATGAGATTTTAATACAATGAAGATCCAAAACAAATAATATCTTCACTTAGAAAAATAAGTAAGTAATAAGAATGAGGAAGATTTCAAGTTAAACTATATAACTATATTTAATTAATAGATGAATCTCGACTCTCTAAACCTGGAAAAGAGGAGATGAAAGGAAAGCAAGTAAAGAAGATAGAAGGTATATCCAAAGTTATCAACAATAAGTTATCATACTTTATGAATTCTGTTTAATTTCATTCAAAAAACAAGAAGCAATGAGGAAGTTGGTAGGATGATAAAACTCCAATTAGAGTTTTCGATTTGGTTTCGGTTTAAAATTTATTCAAGGAAATTAATGTAAAGAATATCGTTTGTACTATATTCATGGCGTAAATATAATTTACTGATTCTCATGCTTGATAAATGATTTCTTCAAAAGAACAAATGAAATTTACAGATCCTGTCTCATCCACAAGTGGAATGGAGCAAGAAAAAGGAGAGGACTTTAAAGGAAAGCAAGAAAGAAAGATTGAAGGTAGACCAAAGCTTATCAACAATAAGTTATCAAACTATATGAATTCTTATAATTTCATTCAAAAGACAACAACCAATGTTGTAGGTGGTAGGATGATAAAACTCCAAATTAAAGGTTAAGTTTTGGGTTCAGTTAAAACTGGATGCGATGAAACTAATATAAATTAAAATTATTGAACTTTATTCATGGTGAAAATATAACTGACTGTTTCCAATGCTTGATGAATGGATTCTTCTAAAGAACAATTAAAATTTTTAGATCCTGTCTCGAGCACAAGTGAAATGGAACAAGGGAAAGAAGAGAAATTGGAATTAAAGCAAGACAGAAAGAATGAAGGTAGACCAAAAATATAAATTTAATTTCAACAAGCAGTGTTGTAGTTGGTAGGATAAAAAATCTTCAAATAAGAGAATTAGGTTTGGTTTTGGAAGCAGTTTATGAGCTCACCTGAACTGAAATCTTTAGTGAGCTTTTCTGATCACATCTTGTCCGACATCCGTCTGTCCATCTGTCAGTCTGTATGTCCCTCTGTCTGTCCGTTAGTCTGTAAACTTTTTACATTTTCATCGTCTTCTCAAGAACTTTTGGGCCAACTTCATTAAAACTTGCCACAAAAACTGTTTTAGTTAAGGGGTTCAAATTTGTTCAAATGAAGAGTTAGGCCCCCTTCAAAAGGGACATAATAATGAATAAGTAAAACTCAAAAGCCATGTTTGTTCATATTTTTATGGAATTATCATCAGGTAGTGTATCTTGAAGTTTATAGAAATTATTACCCACAAGGGTAGGGCGGGGCCACAATGACTGACCATTGTTTTAAAAAGAAATATATAGGACAATTCTATAATTAACTTCCCTAAATTAAAAAATCCATGATTGGTCTTATTTTTTGGAAGCATCCTCAGTTAGTATAGATTCAAGTTCAAATCATTACACGACACCCGGGGCTTGGCAGCGTCCACAAAGACCGAGCAGTTTCACATTGAAATATGTATGAAAAATGTATTAAAAACTAAAGACTAGCAATGGCACGATTGATCATATTTTTAGGGAAGCATTCTCAGTAAGTGTAGATTCAAATTCGTTTCAACCACCGGTGGTTGGGCAGGGTCACACTAGCTGACCAAAGTTAAACATAGAAATATATGATAAAATTCTTTAAATATTTTGTCTAGAATAGCAAAGATGTAATTGGTCTTTCATATATTGATATGGAAGAAGTTTAGACAATTTAACAAGGTTTGTGCAAATCATTCCTTCTCCCATTTAAATAATGGTTTAGACTTTTCAATAATAACTAATATTTTCTTTCATGCTAGCCACAGTGCGAATGTGAGCAATGTGGCCCACGAACCTCTTGTATTAGATGCAATGATATTGATTTAGAAAAAAATTGAACTAAATTGAAATTCATAGCGAAAATGTTATTGACTGATTTCCATGCTTGATGAATGGTTTCTAAGTGGAATGTAAAAACGTTTTTAAGCTACTTTTATTTATCTTAATATCTCCTTTAAACTGAAAAGATAAAAAGAGAATAAGAACTCTTAGGTAAAATATTTAAAATGTTTTACAGATACCCCAGTGAGACAGAATATATGTATGGAGGATGATGAAATCCCTTCAAGTCAACGATGAAAACACCGATATCGTATGTTTAACGAAGCGAAGAAGTTAAGAAAACGAAAACATAGCTTCGTCAGGAAAAATGGGTTTCAATTAAA